ATGGAGGTAGCCCATGACACTTGGATATCAGACGATGGAGGTAGCTCATGACATTCCAGGTCAAGACCATGGGGGTAGCCCATGGCACTTGGATATTAGACCATGGGGGTAGCCTATGACATTGTAGGTAAAGACCATGGGGGTAGCCCTTGACAATTATATGTATGTTACATAGTGTTTTGTGGTTGTATGTGCGTGATATTTTGGGAAAATCACTAAGCTTTTGCTTACAGTTTATTTGGATGTTTTCAAGAACTTCTTATACTAAGGGGTAGAGTCCGGCTTGATGGCGTAATATTCACTCTCCAACATTTTCCGCCTTTATTGGAAAATATGACTTGATGTAATGGGTTTTTGGAATCAACTTACGATTGTAATTCCTATTTTAAAAATGAAAAATTTTATCTGGTTTTTGGGTTATTACAAGTGAGTCTTCATTAAGGGCATTTTAGATGTTTGCTTGTAATCTAAACGTTGGTATTCCTTTTGTTGGTACAAATCACACATACAGTTCCACAGTCTGTACAGCCACATATATCAAACGAAAATCTGTATTATTCAATTTCCTTAAGGTTTACATCCTTCAAAATGCTTTCATAGATGAATCGGCACTTATATTCCTTCTTTTTTGAGCCTTACTAATTAAATATTCATTGGTCCATCCTTAGTTCTTTACACTTGTTTTATACTTTAAATACTACAAAATGTTATATATATATATATATATATATATATATATATATATATATATATATATATATATATATATATATATATATATATATATATATATATATATATATATATATATATATATATATATATATATATATATAAAAGCTTAAATTTCAAACCTAATTTTTGAGACTAACCGAGTGTTGATGCTCTGTTTTATCAATCGATATAAATAAATATTTTTATTATTTAATAATTAGTTTTTATTCTTATTTCAATTATATCAATGTCTCATAAAATAACAATGGAATAATGCTTCGTTATTATCAACATTTCACATAAAGGTCTCCGGTTCAACGAATGTTTGAGGTGAGCACTTCGGCAGGTATATCTTCCAGTGAACTTTCGTAGATTTTTTCTTCTGGTAGAGATATTAGGCTTTTGTATTTTCTCAATGAATTAAAAAGTTCTATATTTGATTAGTTATTTGATTTTTTATAGAGTTTTTACCAAGTTTCCTAATTTATTTTGATGCTCTGATTTTTGTGGATTTTGAAACTTGTAAGATTAGTTTTCTAATTTTTTGAAGTTATATATATATATATATATATATATATATATATATATATATATATATATATATATATATATATATATATATATATATATATATATATATACACACTTGAATATCAACATATTAGCAAGTAAAAAACTCGTGGGCCATTGCCTCCTGACCCTTTAGAGATTCCTACATTCTTTTCATGTTAATTTAAAGTGAATGGCTGAGGTGTAGATCATGTGATATCTTACCAATTATATGAGTAATCATGGTAAAAACCTTTATGACGGTTTTAACTTTTATAGTAATTAATTTTGTCCTTTATAACGAGCTTCCATACTTTGAAAGAGCATCACCATTCTTTCTCAAAATGGCTTCGGTTAAGAGCCTTCTCCTTCTCTTACACCTCCTCCTTGTTGGAGAGACATTAAACAAGAAACATTAAAAGAAGAAAATTTTGTGAATATAAAATTTTATTAATTACTGTAGTTTTAATCTTGTTGCTACGTTAGTTTTGGGTATAATTTCCTGTTTATTCCAATTGATAAAAGACTACAACATAAAAGTTTAAATACTAAAAAAACTCCAATAAATGAAATGAGGATGTTATGCAATGAACTTTTAAAAATGAAAGTGGTTTTTGGGGTCCATCGGTCAATGAGACCAACTAGCAACACATTCTGTTAGTCGTGATTAAAGAGACCCAATCCATTTGGATCTAGTCCTTGAGGCATAACATCAAACATTTATAAATTTCCAGCAATAAGGATTATCCAAATGAATTAAACCTTATTAATGGTTGCAGATAAGATTGATTATGGAAAAAAAAACAATATGGTAACCCATTTGGAATCTAAATCAAAAACGAATTGTGAAAAATCATAATTTTGAGGATTAAGTGGATTAAGAACACATACTCGGCTGATTTGTCATCTAATCATCTTCATCCTCAAGGTCTAATAAGAAAGAGCGACTCAGTAATCTAGTAGTAGTACCAGGCCAACCTCAAAAAAAATTATGTTTCTCGGAGAAACTTGAGGTTAGCACATGCTTGTTTTGTATAAATATTAATTTTTTCAACAATCTATGTAATATACGCAGACAAAAAAAGTAAATTTAGACTATCAAGAAAAATGACTTACATGTGGTTAAAGATAGAAAAGTAAAGATGACTGTTATATCAAAGAAAAGTTGTGGGTTTCAACATGTTGTGTTTTCGCTTTAATATAGTATACACGTTAGGGGTATGGTCACACCCAATTTACCCAAAAATGATACCACCTCATCGTCTGATCTCCATTACCAACCCACTACTAACCTACTAATCTTGAAAATGGTTACCACTCCAAATCATTTTTTTTTCTTTTTTATTTTTTTGACATTATTAGATTAAATTATTCAAATAAAACACATATTAAAAACATTAAATAAAAAAGCATTGCATTAATTTTAAAACGTACAAATTTAAATCATAAAATACTTAAAAAACACAAAAAAAAAAAATCCTAAATTACTTATTTATCCTAAATTACTTAAGAAAAAACACACAACATAACAACTAAAACATAAATATTAGAACCTAATCGTCATATTTAGCACGGATACAATGTTGGATTTTCAGAAATGTCGCGAGCTTTTCGGGTCGAGATCCACTTGGGACTTCGTGTTTATGATTTGAAGATCGGTAAGAACGATTTTTTGGCGACGAGCTTCCTCCATTGATTGGTATTTTTTTCTAGAAAACTTAGAGTTTTATCTATGGATTCCACAAGTCCGTCGTCGCTAGTTGCGGTTGTTTTCCCAATTGAAGACGCCGCCCATTTTGCTTTGTCCCTTCCCGTTGGTCGACGGAGTTGGAGTTCAGGTGGACCCTCTCCATCGGCAACATCGACGTCATCATTGATGTCTAACCCAAAACCTGCTTCCAAATCAGAAGTTTTTGGTCTTTTGTTGGAGCCGGTGATCGATTCCGAATGCGATGTCTCCGGATTAAGGACCCATTTTGGATCTTTACGACAAACTTCCCATGCTTTTTGGTGACCAAATGGTTTACCGTTGTTGGTCACTTTGAATTGGTAGCATGCGGTTGATAAAATGTTGAAATTGTTGGAACCACTTTTATGCATATTTTTTAGATTTTCAAATATGCCATTAAACTTTGTGCAAATCGCGCGAAGATCACGCTATTTTCTGTTGACCGCGTCGTACGACCGATCCGTTTTCCTTCCAAGTAGTGCGTGAAAGTGATCCAAAACACGATTCCAAAAACTTTCTCCAGATTGCGTATTGCCTCTTCTCGAGTCACGTGATATGAAAATCCAAGCTTTTGCTAAAGCTTCTTCCTCTTTTTCGTTCCAAGTCGTTGCTTTTTTTTTTTTTTTTCTCTTTTACTTTTGGTTGCCTTCTTCGAGATGGTTGTGGTGTTTCTTGGACTAGTTCATCGTCGGTGTCGAGGTTCACGGTTTGGGATTGAGATAATGGGACTTGAGATGATTGTGTTTGGAGTTGCGGAGAAGCTTGTTATTGAAAACCTTGGAATTGGGGAATGAATTGAGGTTGAGTGAATTGTTGTTGTAGTTGTTGTTGTTGGAAGAATTGTGGGTTGTATGTAAGGTTAGTGAATAAATGTTGTTGTTGGATTGGAGAATTCAACAATTGTATATATGTTTGATAATCACTTGGAGTGTTTGGAGTGGGTGGAGTATTTTGGTTTGGACCTATTTTTTTTTGAAGAAAAGAGAAAGAAAGTAGGAGAATATTTTTTGATTAAGAAGTGTAAAATGAAGAGTGAAAGTGTAGTGTGTGTGTATATATATATATATATATTAAAGAAGTCTCACATTACCACAGTCTACATCTTGGTAAAGGTAAGCAACTACTTCAAGTTGTAAACATCACTCTTGATTTTGATTTGAAGCTTTATGTTTTATAGTCTAATAGATGAACCTGGAAACTAGAAGCTGGAAAAAGCTGGAGGTCAACCCAGAAAAAAATCCCATACATAGGTAAGTATAGGTGTGTATTTTTCTATGTATGTGTTCCACGTGAGTATCTATGTGTGTTATGTGTAGGTGTTCGTATCACTGTGTGTAGGTCTGTGTAACACAACTGTGTGTCTATGTATGTGTTTCTATATATGTATTTGTGTAATAGTGTATATATGTGTGTATCTTTATATGTAGATGTTTTTATTTGTGTATGTGTTTTTATGTGGGAGTGTTTGTACCTGTGTAGGTGTTTATATTTGTTTATTTGTGTAGGAGTGCATACCTTTGTGTATTTGTTTGGATTTATGTGTATGTTTGAATCTTTGTGTTTTTTTTTGTGATTATATGTGTCTGTAATTTTGCTTGTATTTGTATATATCTATGTGTCAATATGTGTGTATTTGTGTAGAGATATGTATTTATATGTTAGCTTTGTGCAATGAAAAGTATATTTCTAAAATATGTATGTTTTGATAGTGAAAAAAAATAAGATGCTAAAGCTGACAAATGTGCCATCATTTACGATCTGCCCTTGCACATTTAAAAAGAGCAACACCACCTCTCTATAATCTATTTATTTTGCTGATTTCAGGAGCATATTTTGGATATACAGAGGATATTATCATCTCCGTGGGGGGATTAAAGAGGGACAACGACCAATTTGATGTATGTGTAAACTCATTGCTAATTATTCCGTTAGCTTGTGTTAGATGCTCATGCTTTTCTTAACTAAAAGTACAGTGGTAAGCTTGACATTGATATGTTCTTTTTCTCCGATGAGAGGTGACCTCGGATTGGGAGATGTAAAGGCTGATGAAGTTCCAGAAGATACAGTCGCAGCTATGGCCGAGTCAACTACTATTCAAATTTCTGAAGACGGTGGAAATGAGTTTACAGATGTCATGGCTTCTCTGTTTGTTAAACCTTTCCTTAATTATTAATGGTTGATTTGTTATGTACCGGTCCATATGCTACTTATCGTAGAGCTTGAGGAGGTTGAGTCCTTTGGACTATCTGCCAAGGTAAAAAGGTGCTACTTTTTCTTTATGTTTTTTTTGAACACACATACATATCAATTCTTTAATAATAAGAAATTTCTAGAATGACTTTTTGTGGTTAGATATGGAATATGAGACATACTCTTAACTTTTATTGAAACTATGTTGCAAGGATTGGATTAGTGTTAGAATCCAATCCCTACAAAAACTAAATACCTACAAAAAATTTTAGAATGATATTTTCGACGAAACTGCCCTGCATACTGTTTCTGTAGTTAAAAATTTTGATTTTAAGGTTTTTGGACCAAACTTCCCCTGCATTTTGTTTTTAAACTTAAAAAAATTGATTTCAACGGTTTTGGACCAAACCGCCCCTGCATACTATTTTTACCATGGTCCAAGCCACCGTCGCTCTCCACCACCGATTATCCCTACAGGTCAGTTGATGTCTCTGATTTTCTTCTTATTCTTCTTTCTTTCTCCTGTCTGTTCCGATTAAATAAAATTGGTTCGATTCTTAAAAAAAAAATCTTGATTGGGTGTTTCCTCATTTTGCATAGCGTTTTGGATTTATAATCATCGTTAACCTTGATGCAAGGTCTGGGTTTTAAAGTATTAACAACGATTTTTTTAAACCCTAATTTGAGGTTTAACTTAGGGTCGGTTTGTAAGTTGGAAAAAGAGCAAAAAATCCAACACGTATTGACATTAGATTACCATGGTTGCTTATTAAGTATAACATAATTTAATAATCTTGAATCTTTTTGCAGATGGAGATAGAATTGAATTAGATAAAGCGTTAAAGAGACCTTGCAGAATCACAGCTAGAAATAGGGCAGTTGCTTCAGATAGATTTGTGAAGGTGCAAACCGAGATTTGAACCCGACTTTTTATTTTATTTTTTATTTCCCACCTGACTTATCTCCCTAATTGCAAGTTATCCCCTATATTTGTCTTCTTTTTGTTTGTTGTGTTTGTTGTCTCTGTATTATCAATCAAAGCGGAAACAAACGATATTTCAACTACCGTGACTCAAGCACGTAAAATGTATGCGATTGAAAAATTGTTGGGTTATGGTCAATTCAACACCACAAATACGCATAAAGTTTTCCTAAACTGTAGATTGTCTGTATGAATTTTAGTCCTTTCTCTGGGAGTGTGATTGTTTCAGTTTTCTTTACAACATAATAAATTATATTTTCATGCTCTTTATCCCATTTTATTCTTAAAAATATTTTCATGATGTCACATATATGCTTATCAGCATAGTTGTTAACTCGTGACTCGAAATCCTAAATTTTAATTCGTGACTCGTCTTGTGACTCAACTCGTAAGAGTCATGACACTAAAAATTATATACAAAAAATTATATATAACATCATTTGTCAACAAAATATAAGCCGAATATTTAAGCAGATTTGCTAATATGTTAGAAATTCACTAGTTAGGGTCATACATGTCATAAAGTCAAAAAACAACTAGTGATTTAGTAACAAAGCAAATGACAAAAAAATTTGGTGAGTTTAAATCATAAAACTAAACTTCAGCCTATTGATGTTTTGTTGTAAAGGTCCAACTTTAATGTTCATGTTATTAAATGACATGTGGAAAATCGATATATTTTTTATTAATAAGAATGTAATAGTAATCCATTGGTTTCTTAGTTTTATACTTATATTTTATTTTATTATCATCTTTTGCTATTTTATCACGTTCACGGTTACAATTTACAGCAAATGACAACACTACAGTAGTCACTTTTCTCTGGTACACAACCACCCACTTTGTAAAAAATCTATCTTATTTTTTTTGATTGGTCAACTCAACAGTTGACTTTCAGTTAACAATGTACTTCATTGTTTGATATAAATTTTCTGTTTGGTTAACACTTTTTTATATATACAAGGTTACAACTAGATCATAATAAATATTATTATATTAATAATAATCATATATTTTTGTGTAGCAGGTGGGCCTGACAACATGAGCTTGAAATCAAATATGCTTATGAACATGTTTGGGGGACTTGAAACTGGTGGCTTCACAATGCCAAACAATACAAATGGTAATTAAAATATTTACTTATATTTACTATCAAAACCATCCTTCATATCTCACAAGTTAAATTGGGAAGACTGTCATTAGAAAAATTTGAAGAAACTAAGGAAGCACACCATGTGTTCAATAAAATGCATAGTTGAAATTTGGGTATTTGTAAAATGTTTTATCTATACAATTGAATCAACGGCAGAGGTGTGTTTACTAAAAGTTCCTCCTATGTTTCTTTCATTTTCTGGTGGGATTTATTTTGAACGGAAACGTTAGAAGTGTCCCTTAAATGTAGTTTATGACCGCCTTGAAGATCTTCTGAATGTGTATGTCTAATTTTAACAGCTTTTGATCAAAACAAGCACAACAAATCACTAAATAGTGAGTTTAACAGTTTTTGTCCAAAATGCCCATGCTTATTGTTTTTTTGATAAAAAAATAATAACTTTAACAGTTTCGACCAAAATGCTACTACATACTGTTCTTTATTTCTTTTGCCAAAATGCCACTGCATATTGTTTTTTTGATAAAAAAATGATTTTAACACTTTTGACCAAATTGCCCCTACATACTGTTCTTTTGTTAAAATATAGTTATTTTAAGAGTTTTTGATGAAAATGTCCCTACATACTTCTACTTTTTTATTAAAAAAATAATGATTTTAACGTTATTTGTCCAAAATGATCCTATATAATTTTTTTGGGTACAAAATTAATGATTTTATAGTTTTTGACCAAACTGCCCCTCCATACAGTTCTTTTTTTTTTTTTTTTTTTTTTTTTTTTTTTTGGTAAAAGTTATTGATTTTAACAGTGTATCCGTTGGTACAAATCTAATCTTCTATATCAATTGATCAATGTATTGGCACTTTTTGTTTAGTTTAATATTATTACAAGGTTTCATGGAAGTCGTTAATCTCTTTTTGATGTTACAGGACCTTAATATTGAGATTCCCTTGTGGTTGGCACTAGACCTGACAATTCGTGTATTCGTGTCATGAAAACGTGTCAGCCACGGATTTGACACAATACGATTACACGATTAAAAATAAGCTTTACCTCAATTTTCAAGATGTATTCCTGTCATGTCGTGTCTCTCACAGATTCGTGTATTTGTGTATGAAATTGCCAGGTCTAGTTGGCACCTGGATACCATAGATGTGACAACTAAATTAATATTATACTAGATACCATAGATGTGACTATATATAATAAAAAAAATAAATGAAAGTAAGTTGCTATTTTTTTTTCTAATAAGTCATTTTGAGTTGTATAAAAAACTGCTGAAAGTTTGGGCTCTGTTGATGCCAACATCCAATCTTATTTTTGATGGCGATGAGAGGCGAAAGAGATACACCACAGTTTTGTTTAAGGAAATCCATATGTAAACTATCAAACTGAAGGTAATTCAGGTTTATTTTTATTTATTTTTGTTTTTTACTTGCTTTGTGGAGATTGGGCTATTAGCCCACCATGTTGGAATTGCAATGTATTTTTTCGTGCAATAAAACCTTTTAACTTAATATTTTAATATGCGATTAATGTACATTCAAAAGTTTTAGTTTTTTGATTTGTACTTCTTTTAAGAGGTTGGAATTGAAATTAATGCTTCTGCAAGCACAACCGAATGCTGAAATAAATGAAATCTAGAACTCAAATTTGTTTATTCAAAGGTGAGGATGATACATAAATATGTAAAACTGAATTCTCTAATTTTTATAGACATTAATTAATGGTCTCCTTTATAACCCTTTGCCATTTCTCACAATTCGAACTATGAAGACGGATGCCGTAATCATAATCGAATTTGAGAATGCAAATACCACAACTGCTATCTCCTTAAAATCTACTTAGTGAAAGCGTTTCTTCACAATCATTTTCATGAAGCAGAGAGAAACCTTATGACACTTAGATTTTATGGTGTATGTGTTCCTATCCATATGAATTTGCAAACCATAATCATAAGACAAGGTTTGCGACAACTCCAAACTCATATGGACTGACTTATTCAATCTTAATTTCTTGCCACTTGGCAGCACAAGGGTCTACCATGTCTTCCAAGTTGTTGAGCAAATTACCCTTACTAATCAATGAAACTTTCATTGATCCAGGTGCTTTGCCTTATGCAAACAATTGAGAACTCATAGAACTCACATGCATAGTCAATTTTAACTGGAATGGGCACGGAAACAAAATATGTCAACACGATAGGTTACAAACCTCAAGTCGTGTGCTAGTGATAAACAATAGGTTTTATTCTTGATTAGTTCTTGAAACTAGTCAAGATCTTTAAGACTCCCACTGAATTCTTGACATATAAGATTCTCTTGTCATTAACCATTCCTTGACAAACAAATATTCAAGAGTTAGTGCGGATTCTTATCAAGATAAACACTTCACCCAATTGGTCTTAGTTGGTCTTTGTTTTATCCAAAACATCACAACTTACCAATTTCAAATGTACAAGAGTAAGAAACATTTTACTCTACACTTGATGATGTGTTATAAACCTTCTTAAGATTATGTCACTTCAGGCACAATCTTGGAGTATGACTCTAAGAGTTGATTTTGGAACGAAGTATGATTCATCTTCTTGATTTAACCATTTCAACAATTCACGATTCCTCTTCTTAGCCATACGAATGCACTAAGATGTCCTTAGATGATCAATTGTGATATGCTTTCAAAATCATTAAGATGATCATAAAGCACGATACTCAAGTACTCTCCCATCCTTTCAGATTGGATAAACTTTTATCTTTCTGCCTAATTTGATTCTTCTTATTCATCTTGCTATACATTGAAACTTTTTCAATGATTCAGAATTATATTTAAACTTGTAAGCATAACCATATTTACTAAAATTTTAGTAAATCAGTACGAATAGGCTTATCGTTCTTTGTGGTGGACCTAATCAGCGTACAACCAAGTGTACCCGATCCCCTAGTCCTTCACTTGACTCACATATACATGTGAACAAGGAATTAGTCTTAATTTTCCAACGACGAAAATTCTCATTCATCATACAATACAAGTTGCATGATTCCAAGTTTCTGTCCAATTGAAACTTGGGTGATGAGAATCCTTCCTTATTTGGTAAATTATGACACTACCACAAATGAAAGAATCAAATCCATTTTCAAATATTGCAAGAAACATACAATCATCAATTTTCACAAATGTCATTGCAAGGAAATATAAAATAATTTAAAATCAAAATTTTCTTTATTTTATAAAAATTATGGAAAAACTTTTCCTTACAATGAAATTATGAAAGAATATTATGTTCCAAACTATTTCTAAGCAATCTACCATAACTCTTAAGCAGCAGCTCAAAAATCAGATCATCGAACCATGTGATTGAAATCGATCATTACGATCAGATTCAT